ATTACTCTCTCATTTTTGATCCAATGACCATGAAAATTGATATGCAAGTCCATTATGACATAAGGAACAACTTTGATTCACAACTTGGATTCCAATTCTCAAAATTCGAGGAGTTGACTTTTCGGTCAACCGTACGATCGATCGGTGCCGATCGAGTCGCCTGTTGATATTCTGGACATCCTGGGACTTTGACACTTCTTGAATAGTCTTTAATAGCCTATATTAACTTCATGGACCTCACTCCCACCATTAAAACATTTCCCAACATCAAAGTCAAACCACAGTTGACTTTCCACTGGTTAAAAACCCTAATCGGGGCCTCCTGACTGCACTGTTCTTGATTCTGAAACAATTTCTTCAAATTGACTTCCCATTTGACTTTGATATTGTCTTTGATTTCATTCCATGATTGAATTGGCCCAAATCATTGGTTGATCCTTCCTTGATTGTTTTGAATTTGTCGGTGCGAGAACCCTGATTTCATCTGTAACTTCACAATGAAACTTTGAACTGGATTAGTGTTAGATAAATTCATGATGTATGATTCTAATATGATTATGAGGATCTACGGTGGTCAAAATTTGGGGTATGACAAGCTGCAAAAGCGTCGACCATGTTTTCTAGGAAAAGTTCATGGTCAAAGTGTTGCGCTTGGTACTCTGACCACCATACATTGAAACTCTCGGTGGAAAAGAATGAAGGTTTGTAACGAAACACATGCAACTCTAGATGTTGAGTCGACTTAGCAAACTTGAGACAATTCTTATGACCCGTCTGGTTAAGCTTTAGACCAGCCCACACGACGTCATCATGATGGCGAACCAATGGCTTTGGCAACATCTGGCTCAGGCCAAATTGTCGAGCAACCAGATTGGGTTGATAGTTCATAAACCTGTATCCAATGTTGCTCGAGTCAATACGAAATGACAGCATTGTCGGGGTTAGGAAATCTCTCCAGATGGAGTTGGATACTGCAGCTGTGCTGAGGGAAACACCCGGAAAGGGATTCTGAAACCAAGTCGTCCAAAACTTTTGATGGGCGAAAGGGGTCATCCCAGGGACAAAGAAGTATGCCTCGACAAACATAGTGAGGTATTTTAGAAAAAAGGTTTTGTTGGGGGTCTTCTGCGTGGTCAGAAGAGCAAGTCGAACTCCTCCCACCGGCCAATCTTCGGTCAAAGGTTGCATCTTGGCCGATACTGGATAGCCTAGTTGATGTTCAAAAGTGGCGTTTAGCCAATGTTGCAGTAGCCACATCGACCTCGACATGTTTAGGGCTTTGTTGGTGTCATAGTGATGGGCAATCTTCAGAGACGCCAACCCCACAGAGTGATATAGAGAGGCTAGAAGGAGCTTGCCAAGGGCCACCTGTCGGCCCTCATGGATTTGAATAGCCAAGTTGATATAGCTTTTGGCTATCTGTAAAGAACCTGGGCAGAAAAGGTAATACGAAAGCCATAAAGTCAGGAAGGCAATATGCTATTCGTCAGACACCTCGACTGAGTCTGTGTCATGATGATCTTTGATAAAGTTCTGAAAACCAGCACGATCAAAATCGAAAGAGGCCTCTGTCTCAATGGTGGGATCAAAGGTTTCGCCCACTAGAGAGAGACCAGTAATGGCCGTCACGTCGAAGAGAGTAGGCGACAACGTCCCATAGGGTAATTGGAAGGTGTTCGTCGAACCTTCCCAGAGGAATATCGATGCCAATATGAGGCAGGGGTTGACTCTATGATCATTCCTCGACAGTTGGATGACGTCGAAGATGCCAGACCTTTTCCATTGGTCCTAACACTTATTTTGAACCTTGTTCAACCAGGCAAGGTAATCCTTGTTGCCTGGGGTGGGCATCGTGCGGAACACCCTAGCCTTTGGCGCTGTGAATTTTAAATCAAGGGTGCCACCTTTACGAAAAGCCAAGAAAAAACGGATGCATGGCTTCATGGCTAGGCTTGCCAATGGGGTAAGGACCATGAAACGCATGAAGTTTTTCGGCCACCGCGAAGGAGATGATCATTTGTTTCTTCCAAGCCGCCACAATGTTTTCGTCAACAGAAGTGGGGTTAGGGAAAGGTTTATAAGCATCATCCTCTGACAAAATGAAGGCAATGGGGTTGTTACCTGTTGTGTGAGTTTGGGAAGATGGAAATGCCATTGAAAATGGTGGTTTTTGAGAAACTGGTATGGTTGTGGTGTTTGAGGAAGAAGAAGCGCAAAAAAGTGTTGAGGGGAAAAGTTCTAAAATAAGACTTATGGGATATTTATACTCAACGCTAGTGTGGAAGGCGAAAAGGCAAGGAGCTTTTCAGTTGCTCACTCGTGGGAAAAGCAATGAGTGAAAGTTGGTACTGACGTGGGGAAGTGGAAAAGAATGATGGAAATTCTTGAAAGTTGTGGCGCAGAAAGGTGCCATCATCACATCATGGGGCGACTGACACGTGGATGATTCGACAGAAAAGCCATGATGACACAGACTACTACTACATGCTTGGAAAAACACGAAGCCTCTCAGTCGGCAGAAGTCTCCGTCGAGACTTGGGTTTTGGTTGGGCATCTTGTTGGCTAAAAATTAGCTAACTGAAAGCATCGACCTCGACAGGAGGTGGAAGAAGTAGGCGTCAGATCAACAAAATCCTTGGATAGAGGAAATGATCTTGACAATGTTGGCAGCCGAGGATCGACAACAACAAAATCTGGGAAAGATGCACTCTGAATTGACACTACAATGGGAGTTGCGTGGTCGACCAAAAAACCAACAGAGGTACCTTCAACGAGAGAGTTTTTGTGCTTGGCGGGAAATCACTTTGACAAGAGGAACGTAGGAGAAGTTACAAAAGTTGTGGGCTGACACGTGGCGCCTCCTGAAGCATCCTGGTGGTTATTTTATGTGTCTATATAAAGCGAAGTCTGGTTTTGAAGAAGAGTGTCTTTTGTTAGCATTTGAAGAAAAACACTCCGAGTACCACACACTAAAGAGAAAAAAGTTTCCTTTTCATTCCAAAATGTACGAATACGTCCAATTGTACTTTCCTTTTTTACGTTAAATTTACCAGTCTTTATGTTATTTAAAGCAACACTCTTTTCCTTGTTCAACATTTCCTTGTCTTATTAGGAACATCTTTGTCTTTATTTGCCTAAATTTACTCCCACACGCTCCATAAAGCAAACAATCGTCGAGCGCATAAGTAAATCATCCACCCAAAACCAGTGTTTTGGGACTAGTTTGGCCGGTCCCGCAAGCAAACCCGCAGAGGGAGGTCAGAGGTTGTCTGCGCGAAAATTACGTGCGAACAGATACACATCTACTACAAGATACTTCACCTTAATGGTTTTGGCCTTTACTTAAATGTTGTTTCAAGGTCGATATGGCCATTGATTTCTGTTTTCCCGACAGGCAGACCAAAGACCCTTAGAAAGATCCAATGTTTATGGGATCTAGTTGGAGCCCATGAAAGGAGCTAAAAAACAAGTTACTTATTGAGTTGCTAAGGTTAATTAATACTTGTTTCACACCCTAGTTGGAATACTAAATCGGGATGACCATAAGATCATTATTGTGAGAGAGTACGCTGACCCCGTCTTCTCTTAAAAAGGTGATTTTGGGCTCCTAGTCCCTACAAGAGACATTCCGAAGTTTTATTGTGTGGTGTTTGCTGTTAACACACACCATGCATAACTTCTTAGAGAGGAGCTAAATTCTCCTCCTGACGAAACCCCTAGCGATGGTGTTGGTGGTCTTCTTGGAACTTTGCTTGAACATCCTTGTGAAAAGATGGTGGAAGAAATCACGAGTAAATGGTATATGTGACTCATATTAGTTTTACATACCCTCATAGCGAGCGCCAATTGTACTTGCTAAAAGTACAAGTGCGTAACAATCCCTAGTGGATAAAGACTGTCAAAGACTTTATGGTTGCTGTGGTATTGATAGCTAACTCACATTTGGTGAAAAGCTAATGTACATTTGTATTTTCTCCGTGTCGTTAGTTTTTTCTTAAGTATCACGATATTGATACATTTATAATTTCAAGGGTCTAAAATCGAGTCTTCCTATAATGTAAAAATCACTACAAGAATGGATGAAGGATTTCATGAAATCTATGAAATATAGTTAAGTATCACGGTTTTCCGTGTAAGGTTTGTTCATTCAATACACACTTTACACACGATCGCACAATATGAATGGAGATATTGGAGGTTTGTGCGACATATAAAAAAAATAGCGTTGTATCCGAAAAAGGGATACTCAAACTAGTAAAATCGTCGACTTGATGAGAACGATGAGCTAAACATGTACCTCTCGCGCAATTTGTATGTCCCTTCCAATTATACAATGACAAATCACCTTTCTTAAAATTTTTGTCTCCATTTCATCTCATTTTAGGTGAACGTAGAATAAACGCCCTGTCATTTATCGAAAATATTTGATTTTTTAAACTTAAAAATAAAGTTAAGAGATTAAAGATAGTGTACTAATAAAATAAATGTTTACATTGTCATCCAATAAAAATTTATTAATTTATAATATCATTAATGTAATTTTAAAATACATTAGCAATTTGGCAAAATACACCTAGTTAATTAATTGTCAATGTAAAATAATTATTTTATATGGTTGGTGGATATATATTTTTTCTCTAAAATTAATTAGATTTATTATTATTATAATTATTTTGAGTAGTCGATTTAAACAAGATTCACTCTATTGAATGAAAATAAAATATAGTTAGGTTTCTTACCAAATATGCAAAGTCCATTATTACAACTACAAGAGTGTTAGATTTAGATTTAGGACGGAGCTTTCAATTTATCCCCCTCGTTTCCATCGACAAACACACCAATATACACTCTCACACTCTTCAAAAACCTCATTCATTCATCACATTCCGATTCCATTGTTCCTTCGTTCTCTCAATTCACAGGTAAATCTTCAACAACTCAATTCATCTTCATCCTCATTCTCTAATTCTTATTCCTTCACTTGAATCACAGATACGAAAATGGAGGCAACAATGTCGGCGTGTAAATCTCTTAATTCACCGTCCACCGTTCCCGTCGTCACTGTAACAATTTCTCAACAATTACTCATATATATCATCTATTAATCTTAATTTATTGCATTAGTTGATTAATTAGTTAATTAGTTACTTAATTAACTTGATTATGAATCGGATCCTAGGGTTTATTTACGGCGAGAGGAGGATTCAACAAGAATTCGCGTTCTCAGTGTAGTTTCTTATCGGGAACTAACAAGGTGAAGTTTCCTAGGCAAATTTCTCGACCTTGTAGACAACGCCGAACACCTCATTCTGGTGCTCTTCGTGTAACTTGTGGTGTTGAAAAGATCTTGATCGCGAATAGAGGCGAAATCGCTGTTCGTGTTATTCGTACTGCTCATGAATTAGGGATTCCTTGTGTTGCTGTTTATTCCACAATTGATAAGGATGCTCTTCATGTTAAATTGGCTGATGAAGCTGTTTGCATTGGTGAAGCTCCCAGTAGCCAATCGTAACTCACTCACTCACTCACACTCTCTTTTCAATAATTTCATTTCACTTCCTAATTACACATCATATTCGTACAAAATATTAATTTTTATTATGTACCTTTTGTTTTGAAATTTGAAATTTGAAATGCATTTTGCTAATGAAAATGTATTTTTTAATTTATTATCTCTTGTGCAGGTATTTGCTGATGTCAAATGTTTTGGCTGCTGCTACTAGCCGCAATTGCACAATGTTGCATCCTGGATATGGTTTCCTTGCTGAGAATGCTGGGTTTGTTGACATGTGCACAGCACATGGATTAAATTTTATTGGGCCTAAAGTGAGTAGACTCCGCCTTTGTTTGGTTAATTTCTTGTCACTGCTCTAGTTATGAGTTTTGGATTTTGACTTATTCGAATTCTACCATTAAATCGTAAGACTAGCTTCTGTGTAAACTATCTTGAACCACATGAATTTGATTGCCAATCAATATCATCTCACTGCAATTAGTTATTAGTGCATCACAGTGATGTTAGTTTTTAGACAATGTGATATTGTGCGATGAGGATTGCTGTTTTATCCACGACGACCACCGAAAACAGAATGTCTTGTTAGTAAGAAAGTATGAAATGACTAAAATTTCTGTATTGTTAACCTGTATGCAGAAATATTGCTTGCAAAGCTATGTGATTTTCTGCTGTTTGTCTCTTTAATATTGAAAAGTGTTGGTTTCCAAGTGAAGGCCAGCTTTTATGCTTATCTACACTATATGCACGACGACCACAGAAAACAGAATGTCTTGTTAGTAAGAAAGTATGAAATGACTAAAATGACTGTATTGTTAACCTGTATGCAGAAATATTGCTTGCAAAGCTTGGTGATTTTCTGCTGTTTGTCTCTTTAATATTGAAAAGTGTTGGTTTCCAAGTGAAGGCCAGCTTTTATGCTTATCTACACTATATGCCTAGCTAAAGGGGCTTAAAAAGTTACTCCGTCCGTGTCATTTAAGTATCATATTTGCGAAGGAAAAAAAAATCCCAAAATAAGTGCTATTTCAACTTTTCAATGTAACATTAATTATTTTATTTCACATTAATTCTCTTTTTATTTTTTATTTTTTATCATGAAGACCACTCTCTAGTCATAATCATCATTTTGCATTTATGATAATAGTGAGTACACCAATTATTATTAAGGTTAATTTGGTAAAATTGTTGTTATCTTTGTTTCATTTATAATTCTTTGTTTGAGTGAAATAATGTAGTATGACCACAATGGGACAGAGAGAGCATCTGTTGGTTAATGTTTTCTTTGTTTTGTCCAAATTTAGTGTTTTAGTCTTCTTACTTAATGTTTCTGTGTTAAATACATACTGCTTGTTTAGTTCATGAAGTTCTCTAATATTTCTCCTTCAAATTATTTGGTAAAACTGAACATTTAGTCATGCCTTTCAGTCTGACAGTATTCGGGTTATGGGTGACAAAGCAACTGCAAGAGAAACAATGAAGAAAGCAAATGTTCCTACTGTTCCAGGAAGTGATGGGCTTTTGCAGGTATAACATTAGACACTGGGTGTTAATAGCATCAAGTTACTTCAATAAAAAGTTGGAAGTGAATTTCAGATTCCATGGCATCAGTTTAATTATAAGAATTAATTTAACAGAGCACTGAAGAAGCTATCAGGCTGGCAAACGAAATTGGTTTCCCTGTGATGATCAAGGTAGATCGTCTTATTATTCTGTATCTGCAACTTTGTGCCTATTTGAAGCGAATTCCAATTTTTCTGGTTGACGTTTGATCATGCTTAGATTATGCACTCTTACGTCCAAAAATGTGTGTGCGTGTGCGCGTCCTTCAAACTACAACCTACTACATTTTTGTCTTTCTATCCCTTAACCGATTTAGATATACATGGGTGGTGGACCTTATTTGAAAATAAACTTATATAATAAAAAACTCAAAATTTCCATGGCCATATAAGTGACATATGACCCTTGAAATGTGTCGATCATTTGGAATTTTGTAGAACTGAATAGTTTTTGTGTTTATGCAGGCTACTCAACTTACTACCACAATTATATTATTATGTTTGTTATACATATAAAAGAATATGTATTAGTTTCTAATATAGTCTTTATGTTTGACCGCTTATAATATGGATTAGTTTCTAATATAGTCTTATATTCGTTTGACCGCTTACTTTAAACCAATTGAATGGGCCAGTTAAAGTTCCCGTGTAATCTTTTCTTTTGCTAATTTATGTGAACTGACAAACATATGATGTTTCTCAGGCAACCGCAGGTGGTGGAGGACGAGGTATGCGTCTTGCTAATGTACCTGAGGAGTTTGTGAAGTTATTACAGGTGCTTTTTCAGCTGAACGGAAGTTCCACATATGTTATCTATATTATAAATTGCAACTATTTGTTTATCTGTTTATATGGAATAGCCATAGGAAAAAGATAAAAAAGGGTAACCTTTGGACTAATATTATAAATTGCAACTATTTATTTATCTGTTTATATGGAATAGCCGTAGGAAAAAGACAAAAAGGGTAACCTTCGGACTAATATAAATATCAAAGTCGTAGCTATCAAATTAACCTACAATCAGATTTAAAGCAAAAGTCTTATTGAAGCAAGAAATGCTAATACCTCAAATCTTTTGTCGTTTTTATTTTCTAACCGGCTAACGGATCAAGAGTTCTTAGTGATGTACCTGCGGCCAACAGGTGGAACAAGTTTTTTTTTGCAGTTTGAGTGTAACAATAATTTGCTATGTCACGGATATCTGTAGCAGAAGTTTTTAGGGCCAGACCATCAGAGTGGATTCTGATGGAAGGGAGATGATATTATTGTGATCCCAAATAATTCTATTGTTTATCCCATTGATGGGGAACATATATGTGCTTTTTTGGTAAATAATTTCAATTTGTTTTGTTTACAGCAAGCTAAGAGTGAGGCAGCTGCTGCATTTGGAAATGATGGGGTTTATTTGGAGAAGTACGTTCAAAATCCAAGGCACATTGAGTTCCAGGTAATGTTATCCCGTTCTCTTTTTGAAATTTGCAATTTGACTGTAGTCCGGGGATTAGGAGAATCTTTGAGGGTATCTACGGAAATTGTGGATCCAAAGGAGACATTCAATGTTGGGATTGCTCCTGGACAAGATTGAACTTCTCATTAGTAAAATAATTGATTAAGCTCTGAAATAGAAGTTCATCTGTGCTTCTTGATTGCATTATTCAATTTATTAACTAAATCTGTTCAATAATGAAAAAGATATAACTCAACTCCAAAAATTGCACAGTGCTTTGTCCTATGAGTTTTAATGGTTGCTTTCATTTATAAATGATAATATTGTGTATAATTCATCTATATCTTTTTATATGGCTTGTAGGTTCTTGCTGATAAATATAATAATGTTGTTCACTTTGGAGAGCGTGATTGCAGTATCCAGGTGCTTTGAACTAGCATCCTCAATTTCTTATCTGTCTGTATCAATATTTAGTGTTTTAAAAGTAATTTAGATTATCCGTACTAGTACTTATCTTGGTCATGTGACATTTAACAAAACTTGAAAATCTATGTTCTGTATACTTGCAATTTCTGACCTTACTTAGTTCAAGATCCAAAATAAATATTACTATTTGACATGTATGAGCAGTTTTTCTGACTGGAGTAAATGTTTTAATAATTCTTATTGTAAAAGATTAAAGTAATGTTTTTTGTTCCGATGCACTTCTTCTGTTTTCACATTTATAGAGAAGGTAATGCTTGAGCAGATAGGCTACCCGCTTTTGGTATTTCCCTCCACGAGTTTATTTGGTGTAATTTAATCCCACATTTCATTAATAAGGACTTCTGTTAGAAATAGGAAATCATCTTCCTAGCTTTAGGTTTTCGGTCTTTGTCCCCCAATGTTTTGTTTCTTTTCCTTTTATTAAATACTATTTGGTGTGTACTCTATTACTTGGGTCAGCAGTGCCAACCTAGTTGGGATGACTATCCCTTTCTGACACCACTTGTTTTTTTTTTCTGAATAAAAATTAATTGAACTAATGTTTTTTGCTGTAACTGAAATTAATTACACTTCATACTGATTATTTAAGAGTTTCTGTTCTATTTTGTTCTCTTCGGAGTTTCACGTGTGTAAATAATGCTGATATTGCTGGAAAATATAGGATAATGTGTGAAATATAATTTAAAAACCTTGAACTTCATTTATCATATGGTTTCTATTTTATTTAAAAAGTTTAGAGAAAGATCAATAGGTGTTCTGATTATTTATTTTCCCATCTTGTAATAATATTGCAAGAGTTCCAACCTGAAGTAATTAGTTAAGTTCACTGTGATTTTTGATGCAGAGACGTAATCAAAAACTGCTTGAAGAAGCGCCATCTCCCGCATTGACCCCAGAGTTACGGAAGGCAATGGGAGATGCAGCAGTTAAAGCTGCCGAATCTATTGGGTACATAGGTGTTGGAACGGTTGAGTTCCTTTTGGATGAAAGGGGTTCTTTTTACTTCATGGAGATGAACACTCGTATCCAGGTTGAAACTGATTTCTATAATACTTGTCTAGGAATTATAAATGTATGTGGATGTTAGTGCAGATTTAAATACTATAACCTTCCCTATACCTACTATTCCCTTCGTTTTTTTAAAATTCGTTTTGAACTTTTCGCACGTATTAAGAAAAGTAATCATTGTTGTATGGGAAAGAGAAATTATGAAGGATTTTACAATATTGTCCTTCATTAATTGCATGGGAAAGATACAACAACACCAACTAAGCCTTATCCCACTAAGTGGGGTCGGCTACATGGGAAAGATAAATTTAAATAATTGAAAGAAGAGATGATGATAAACACTCAAGGGTATAATAGGAAAAATCACATTAATGATTCCTTGGTATTGCAAAATGACTTATATTTTGGTATAAATTTTTTCTCCAAAGCGACTTATAAAACGGAGGGAGTAATATTTTTTGCTTATATTCTGTCATTAGGATTAAAAAGTTATTTAGATTTTCTTCTAATTGAATTTATTAAATTTAATAGTAACATGACATATTTGTTTTTAAGAAAACACATTAAAGAGATAGCATGTTCTTTTTAACTAATATGCGGGTAATTGGTTTGAGCATGGGTTAATAGGAGCCCATCATGCATATAAGTATGACTAATGAGGATAAGCATGAAAGTTGCTAATTTTGCAAGTATGGATTTGGGGACATGTCTTTTTCATAATTGTGCATATGAGCATGTATACTCTAGTATAGTAGTACCTTACCTACATCTTATCCATTGCCATCTTTATGCTTGTCTAATAAGACACCTAGAGTCGAAATTTCGGTACATGCCACATGTTCAATTTTGCGAGTTGTGCTTATTAGTTTTCATTACTTTATTATTTTGTTTTGGGGGTGTGGTGTTGGTTTGGATCAGGTTGAACATCCCGTGACAGAAATGATTTCCTCCGTTGATTTGATAGAAGAGCAAATTCGTGTAGCTCTGGGCGAAAGGCTTCGATACAAACAGGTACTAAAGGAGATATTTCCCTTGAAATTCTTTAGAATCTTTCTCTTATCATGGTTTTTCCTACAGGAGGATATTGTGCTCAGAGGACATTCTATTGAGTGCCGTATCAACGCAGAAGATGCTTTTAAGGGATTTAGACCAGGGCCAGGTATCTTGATGTATCAGATTCAGAGATGTATTTATGTAAAAATGTGTAAAAAGATAAATACAATTGCATTCTACCAGCTTCTGCGACTGCAGCATTTACCTAATACACAATACGCAATAGATTACATATATACGTTGGACAGTTTGGACAATTGGCTTCTTTCTCTCATTTGAAAATGCTGTTCTAAGTGTTTGGATTTGATGATTTTCATTTGTTTTTAATTGAAATTTTATTAATTTATGGATTTTTCTCTCCTCAAACAACAGGTAGAATTACAGCATACTTGCCGTCTGGAGGTCCATTTGTCAGAATGGATAGCCATCTTTATCCTGATTATGTCGTTCCTCCAAGTTATGATTCCCTTCTTGGAAAGGTTTGCCAATTTGTCTCTTCATAAATTTTATGTCATCCTCATCTCAGTTGCTATACAGTTTAATGCATCTCTATATTCCACATTGTTGGACTTTCCACCTTAATTGCAGTCCGCCCCTAGTAGCCTTAATTGCGGCACTTTGGCTTGCCTCATTGCAATCCCTAACACCTTCATTGTGTTAGCTTTGAAGGCTTTGAAGGGGTGGATTTATTCCCACATTGTTTAGAGATATGGTCTGTGTTTTGTTTGTAAGTGAGAGGGCAATCCTCACCTTACAAGCCGCGGTTTTATAGGGATGAGTTAGACCCAATCCAAATTCTGAGATGGTATCAGAGCCTATCCAAGATTCGTTGTTGGGGTTCCCGCATCGTCCACGCTTCGGACTCATTGAGACCCAAGCGTGAGGCGGTTGTGTTGGACTTTCCGTCTTAATTGCGGTCCGCCCCTAGTCGCCATTATTGTGGCACTTTGGCTTGCCTCATTACAGTTCTTTAACACATTCATTGTGTTAGCTTTGAAGGGGTGGATTTAGTCGCACATTGCTTAAAGATATGGCATGTGTTGTGTTTATAAGTGGGGTCAATCCTCACCTTACAAGTCGGTTTTTGTAGCCGGTTTTGTAGAGATGAGTTAGGCCCAACCCAAATTCTGAGATGGTATCAGAGCCTATCCAAGATTCATTGTTGGGCTTTCCGCATCGTCCATGCTTCGGCCTCATTGAGGCCCAAGCGTGAGGGGGTGTGTTGGATTTTCCGCCTTAATTGCGGTCCGCCCCTAGTTGTCTTAATTGCGGCACTTTGGCTTGCCTCATTGCAGCCCCTAACACCTTCATTGTGTTAGCTTTGAAGGGGTGGATTTAGTCCCACTATTTCGCCTTCATTAGCGGCCACAACAACTATTGATGACAGTGGCTTGCAGATCAAAACTTTTGTGCCGAACCCTACCACCTTTACCAGGTATGCTATTCTGCTATCTTAGAATTGTGGTTAGGCCTAAGAAAACTTTACAAAACTGGCTTGTTAGGTGTGGACTGCCCCCACTTAGAAGCTTATGTCTGGGATATATATTCTTCGATGTGAGACTCTTAACATCCCCCTTACGCCCAACACTACGGGAATGGTGCATGTATATAAATGGTAGGTGGTTTGATAGAGGAAACCTGAGAGCAGGTGACCTAACGGATCTTGAACCAAACTCTGATACCATTTTATAATTATGGTATAGCCTAACTCAATCTTACAAAACCGACTTGTAAGGTGAGTATTGCCCCCCACCCTCCCACTTATGTTTAGGTCATATATTGTCTGATTTAGGACTGCTTTCAATCTGATTGAACTTTGTATGGCCCTGATTTCAATATGATTGAACTTTGTAATCTTGGAATTATCATATCCATCTTGGATATAAGCTCCATTTAACCACTTCGCACAAATTAAGATTTAGGTAGTACAATACAATAAATTTGTCAACAATGTCTATTGATTTTCTCAAGTTTCCTTTTAGTTAATGTTTTTGTTAGACAATGGCCCAAAAATATGTTAAATTAATTAGGGTATTTTTGTAAAATAAAAAATTAGTGCATCTAGTAATTTAAAAGAGACATATTTAGCAACAGATCATTTTATTAAACAGGGCTTATGTTTAGAGACACAGGTAGTAAATCGATATTGTGATCCTTTTGGTATAAGATTTGCAACTAATCATTTGTATAAAGCCAGAGTCACTACCCGGTCAATGGTTAGGCTTGTAGTATTTCTTGAGCACGACAACATTGAATTCATGTCTTTGTTGTTGTCCTATACAATTCAAGTGGAAATAATGAGCGGATGCAAGGAGGAAAGGTTGAGGGGTTCAATTCAAAGTATTAAATAAATATGACCTAATCTATTCCACATGTGGCTTTCACACTTTCATTTTATTATATTTAAAAAAAGATCTAATGTATACTACTCACTGTATCCCAAGATATTATGTTGTGAGAAAGATTTGGATGCAATGAATCAACCACCTGTGGAATCCACTTTTTTTCATCTGAAACTCTTCCTCATGTCTTTGATTTTGTGAACATTTTGCAGCTGATTGTATGGGCTCCGACTAGAGAAAAAGCAATTGATCGTATGAAAAGGGCACTCGATGACACTATTATCACAGGTTAAGCAGTCTGATTTTTATTATTGTGATAATCCATTAGATATATGTACTTGCTGTAAGTTGATTGCATGCCTGAAGCTAAGGAAACTGATATAAGTAAAAAAAAATTCCTTTCCACCTTGTTCATACACTTTGCAAAAAGAACAAAGGAGTTTGTTTAAAGAATCAAATCCTCTGCAGTTTGAAGCAAACTGCAGGAGATGCAGGATCTTATGGTTCAAGTCAACTGAATTTAGCCATTTTGTTTATGATATTAGAAGTCTCAAGGGTCTATAGTTTTAAATCTTTCTGTTAAAAGACTGCAGATGATCTTGATCCTTGGTTTACACTTTCTATAATGATGTTAACACTTAAAATTTTGTTGCAGGAGTTCCTACAACTATCGATTATCATAAACTTATCCTTGACATAGAGGTCAGTGCATTATTATTTTTTTTGGTGACTTGTATCCTTTAACATTATATTATGTCCATCAGAACTCGGAAGGAAATCAACTAATGTATGCAAATCATTATTGTATTATAGGATTTCAAAAATGGCAAGGTTGATACTGCTTTTATTCCAAAACACGAGGAGGAGTTGGCTGTGGTAAGAATCTAATATAGTGCTGATAGTATTTGTGTCCCCTAGCAAGTATGACTTTCAGAATTATGTCTCTGTTGGAAATTTTTTGATAGGAAAACAAACACGAACATGCCTTTGAAACCATAATCCGGGACCTTTAAATACTATCATGATTCTTTTCTTGTGTACTCAAAATAGAGTTGAAATCCAATGTTCTAGCCAAAAAGACCTCTTCTGAATCTATGAGAAATTTTTAAAAGCTTCCAACACTCTTTTCAACAATTCCTCTCTTGTTGGACAAAACTCATGTAGTGGTGTGACCTGCATCAGTTCCACCCATCACATGAGAGAGTGTTGAAAATAGAGTATTAGAATTGGTGATGCTCGCAACACTTTTCTTTTTTATTTTGTTTGATTTTGTAAATATCTGTTGTTCATATCTAATGCAGCCCCCACAGGCAAAGATGGCATTAGTTAACAAGGTGACAAATCTTAACAATGCGACCGAACCAGCTGCCTTGACTGCCTGATGGATATGACTATGTGATGCCATCCCGAAAAAGATTTGCGTTGTTGTAATCAATATGTAGTCCGTGCGCGTGCTTCTGAAAGTTCTACTGAAATTTTGATAACGAGTCTTCCACAATTATCTGATCAATAATTATATAGTAAAATGAATTAACTATTTTGTGTTTGATTGATCGACCCAGGCATTAGTGGTTATGGGATTTTACAATTGTTTTTTTAGAGGATCTGTCTCATTTTATGTTTGTAATTCTTGTATTAAGAACACAATTTTAGATAGTAATAAACTGCATCATATTTATTGGTTTACCACCAAAAGTGTACATGTTTGTTTTATTTGTTCATTCTGCTTAAAACCAGCAAGTTTTGTCCAAAAGATTTGACCACTGGCATATGTGCAAAGACGAGATGAGTATCAAGTTTTAATCAACAAGTACCCATTTGTGAATAAATTTTTTTGCTAAATACAATTGAACGGTTGCATTTACATTCATTTCTGTTGTATTGTCAATAACAAAGTAATCCTAAACTTGGCTTTGAAGTGGATGCTTTTTGCAATGTTATGCCGTCATGCAGCTTTGTTGCTGCATCTTGAAGCACATTTTATGCATCAGTGTTGAAAGGAAAGGTAGAAGAAGCATTACTATTTGCTCTGGACTGCAGAATTTACATTTTCCCTACTGAAGATGAACTTGAACGGCTTTCATATCCAGACATTCCAGACATTGACTGGGAATCACTCATTGAGTCCTACAAAAGAAAATATGATTACATTATAAGCAAAACAGATCGTGTTTTGGGATGGATATGAATTACTAAATGTGAATGTAACTCACTTGACTTGATGAGGATAACGTGGATTGCGAAGAAAAATTATTTCTTTGATTGAATCCTCCACCACCACCAAACATCATCATCATAGGCATGTTTTCCTCAGCAAAATCTCTGAGTTTGTTAAGCTCCGGCAAAATAACTTTCCCAAGATCAGGTCTATCTTTTTTTCTCATTTCAGAACACTGAAGAGCAAGCTTGGCAAAATGCATAGCATGTTCAATTGGCCAATCTTCAACAGCAGGATCAAGCATCTCACCAAAAGTACCTCTCTCAATAGATTTTGCAACATGGTGACTCAAACCCATCGGTGGCTTTGCTGTTATCAACTGCAGAAGCATGATACCAAGTGAGTAAATATCAGACTTTGTTCCCAGCATGCCCGTTTGCTGGTACTCCGGATCAATGTAACAGAAAGTTCCAGCAGTTGCTGTCATGCGATACTGTGTCACCGTGTCTGCAACTGAAGGAGGGACAAGCCTTGCCAAACCTACATCACTAATCTTGCTCACATAGTTCCGGTCGAGCAAAATATTTCCTGGTTTTAAGTCACGGTGCACCAATGGTTCTGGTTTTGTCTGGTGAAGGAAAAGGAGCCCGGTGGCAATCTCCGCCGCAATTCGGAATCTTAGCTGCCATGGTAGAACCCGAAACTTACTATTATTTCTCCTAAAGAGACAATCATCCAAGCTTCCCTTACTCATGTGCTCATACACTAGGCAACCAAACTCCGGACACGCTCCAAGGAGAAGAACCATGTTTGGATGCCTTATGCTACTAAGAACTTCAATCTGCATGAACCAAATGTCAAAGCCTGATTAATCGATTCGATTCATTAATGTGTAATTCAGTTCAATAATTTGCATACCTCTTGTTGAAACTGTGACCGTCCTTGAGCTGCATCGGGTTTCAACACTTTTATTGCAACTGCAGTGTGATCTAGTTCAGCCCTATAGACTGGTCCATAACCTCCTTCACCGATCTTCAGCGAGCTTGAAAAGTATTTTGTTGCTTCTTCTATTTCCTCAATAGTGTATCTTCGGTACCTAGCCGGACCATGTAAGAAACTGTCTGCTCCTGTGTTAGATTTCATTTCCGCATCCACTCTTTTCCGTGCTTCCAACTCTGCAATTTTTCTACTTGCTTCTGCTGCCTCCATCGCAACTTTGCTTTTCACTCTCTCTTTCTCAGCTACTGCCATTGCTGTTTCTTCAGATAATTTCGCATCTTCGACTTTCCTTTGTTCGTCAGATTTCCAACGCTGAAGTTCCATTGCCTGCAGGAGAATAACTTAGTTATCTGTTTTGTAAATCTGCGAAGTAAATTAAAATTTGCCAAGTACCTTTTGTTTGGCTGTCAATGCTTCCTTGCAAGCTGAATTATACATTTCCATTGTTTGCTTCAGCTCTATTCTCAATCTCCTCATTTCAGCTTCTACTTCATCCTATAATTTCGAAACATGCATTTATTAAACTCTATCTTCCTCGGCACACACGACAAAAATATGAACGATTGATATGTTAGACATAGAATAAGCTTACCGAGCTTGATATCTTTAGTTGCGGTGACATGGACATTCCACTGTCTTGTGAACAGAATGAATAGTCATTCTGATCAATTGACTTAGCACCCGAGAAAGACGAACCGAAGCTTCTAATATCATAATCCGAGCCTCCTGAAAGCCGGGGGGTCATTCCACTTACAGAGTCCATTTCTTCGTAAAACGAAGGGAACATCCTATCAATACTTGGCCTTCCGCTGCTCACGAATGAGATATCAGACTCATTTATCGTAGACTCGTACGGTCTGTGAACTGGTCTTCCGCCTCTCATAAATGGTGATCTGTCCAAAAAATTAAAAGTTAGTCTTCTCATTAACCTTTTCTCATGCACATTCTATCGTAAGGATTCTAAGTTACTTACTTGATTTCATCTTCTTTGTCTTGAAGGTGTGAAAGTAACGATGGTTTCTCTGATGTTTCTGTAAAATAAATAGTGTTTCATGAGAAACATTAAGAGAAAACTAAAATAACAAACAAAATTAGTAGAGACGAGTTTCATGTCACAAACAAATATCGAAAGAGAAATTCCCATACGTCGTGGCGGCTGGTTTCGCATTAACTGTTGTAGATCGAATCTATCAGGACTTTGCTGCAGCTGTTGTGGCGGCTGGTTTCGCATTAACTGTTGTAGATCGAATGTATCAGGACTTTGCTGCAGCTGTTGTGGCATCTGTATAGCATTGCTACGCGCTACGGGTTTCACTGTTAAAGGACTAGTAGCGGTTTTCACAGACGAGATTTTTCCTTTGGAAATAATGTACACCGTGCAAAACGCAGGCGCTCCTTTCGACACAAGATTAGGAACATCAGTTGTCCTAAATCTTCTGTCATGAATTATAATTCACAAAAAATCGGATTATGTTACACTCTCACACAACAAAACATGATTCAAAATCTTTTTGTTTTCTTGTAAAGATCGATCAAGCATGGTTGAAATAAAGAATTACCTTACAAGACCACTCCTTGACGGCGATCCAAGAACAAGAAGCTCAATGGAATATGTCGTAATACCATCGATTATACCCTTAGATACATCCAAGTCTTCCAACAAGATTTCTTTGCACAATATCTGTCATAGATAAAAAACAAAAAACATGAGACACATATCTATCTATTCGGCCGAAAGCCGTCTGTCTGATTACATGATTTATTAGACCTTACATTCTTTCTATTGCAGAAGACACGAAACGAAGAGAAAAGCTCTCTCGATTCGTTATCCATTTGATGCATGTAAGCTCTAGCAACATCATCATTGACATCAACAGCTATAAGGTTTCCATCTGCATAAACTCATGAATCATTCATCCAATATATGATATAATGAAAAAAAATGTTAAGGCCATGAATGAAGAAGAAGAAGAATAAGAAAAATTTACTTGTTGTAGGAATTGAAGAAGCTCTTTGTCTAACATGAAGTAACAAAAGATGTTGATCTTTAGGAAGAAGATTATCAACAGCCCATTTAGCAGCGTATTGGCTTGTTTTGTTGTTTTCAATGGCTACTGCAACAACACGTCCTGCACCTAGCTTCTTCTCTTGAATGATTCTTGACATTTTCTTATCTTAATAGTGAATTTACTTTTTCAATAATGATGAACTGAATTGAATGAATGAATGAATGAATGAATGAATGAAATTGTGTTTGTGAAATGAAGTAGAATCAGTCCTAACTTTATTGTTTTTTTCTTTTTCTTTTTCAGTTCTCTTAGCTAAGAGACAGAACATATGAATAGAGAATTTGAAATTGTAGAAAAAAACAAATACAACGTTGTTAATAAGTGTTTTGTAGCTATTTTAAGAAATATTTTGTAACTCTGAGTTAGTATTTTGTTATCTTTTTTCTAAATTTAGTGGATAATGACGCGTTGTAATTTTCAATGAACCCATAATTAGAAGTAAAAATATAGTACTTTGTTAAATTAATTATTCATATCTTTTGCTGTATTTTTTTTTTTTTGAATATTTGCATGCTTTATTAAATTTTATGATTATTTTTCTTTAAATTATATGAAATGAAAAAAAAAATATTTTTGTTACAAATTATTTATATATTTTCCCCCCAATTTTTTATGTATACATTCTAATATGGAGTTTCTTTTTGGTTTATTATTTTAAATATTTCAATATTTTATTTTGGTACGAACTATTTTAATATTTAATTAAACTTCAAATTATTTTTTTCAACTCTTTCCTCAACTACTCTAAACAAAATTCATATTTCAATGATAATGAAGGATATTTTTGTCATTTTATAAAATAAACACAACTCTTTCTCTTTTATTTCTCATTTTTTTTTCTTCTACAAATTAATATATCAAATCTACTATACTTTTCTCGTACTTCTTCATTTCATACTCTCTCATTTTCTCTTTCTTACTTTCTTTTTCTAATCAAACAGACCCTAAAAGTTGTTGGATCAATAAGTTTCATTGAAACTTACAATAAATTATCTATAATAGATTTTTTTATAAGTGATTTTTGGCCTTTAGAAATTATTAACTGAGATCAATCTCTCAATTCATAAAATACCTTTAACAATGGTGTTATCTTCAAATTTATAGAAATTGGCCGGTTCAAGTTTGTAGAGATGACAACTTTTCAATTATTGTTGTTATATCACAGTAGAGTGAGGTCATCACGTCGTCACATTCTTTCAATCATGGCGGAATTGTCATCTCCTCCATTTTCTATTCGCACTCATTTCGTCGAAAAAATTGCTCCCTCTAACACTTAAAAAATCTAAAAACAAAATGCAACCCACACAATTTCCTTCGCCAGATTCGATTGTCTCAAGATCCATGGAGACCACCTATATGGCTTCTCCTCCGACTCCTTCGGAGTTTGAAAACATCGAAATATCGGTGAGCGATTTAGAGAAGTACACGTGTTTAGGAAACAAGCGAAGACTTGCATAGTAGAAAAAGATTATTTTTAAAGATTAAGGATCTTGATTCAACAGTGGGGAGTGGAGAGGAGAGGAGAAATTTTAATAAAAGGGAGGAGATGTATTTTAATTTAATTTATGTTTGGTTCAAAAGAGAAGGAGGGAAGGAGAAGCAAAACTTTTAAAATTAATTTATATTTTTACCCTTAAAATATTATAACTCTCATGCTAAATAAATTTTAAAAAAATGATATTCACCAAAAAAAAATTGTTAATGCATAAAAAATATAGATAAGCAAAAACAAAATATTTAATATTTAAAATATTCTAAAATATTTTTCAATGAAAATAAAATATTGATAAATTTCATAAAATCACATTACGAATCATTTTTTCATCTTGATGATCCATTTAATCCTATAAAATATTTATAAAATTAAATTCTGCATAATACATAAATCATACTACAATTATATATTGATATGTAATAGAATACAACAACTTATAAAACAATTAAGTTATTACAAACAAAATATTAAATAAAAATGAATAGAATAAAACGCATGGAAAAAAGTTGAATCATAATGATAAAAATAATAGAGTTGCCGTTAAAAATATGAAAGAATTCTAATAAGGTGACAAATTAAGGTATAATATTAATAAAGACAATTTAAAATTTTATTAAACAAAAGTAAGGGTGATTTTGTCAATATAATAAAAATAGATTTTATCATAACGCCTCTCCCTCCCCTCCCCTAAAAAAACCCCAATTCGAAGAAACGAAAAAGTACTCTAAGAGGGATTCTGTTTACCTCCAATCCCCTCATAAAAAATTGAAGCAAACACACCTATTTTAAAATATTTCTCCCGAATTTTTTATGAAGAGATTAGAGGTAATCAGAATCCCTCCTAAAGCACTTTTCGTTCTTCCGAATTGAGGGGTTTTCGAAGTAGAAGGGAGGGAGAGGAGTTATAATAAAAATATATTTTTATTATATTGACAAAATTACTCTCACTTTTGTTTAATAAAATTTTAAATTGTCTTTATTAATATTATACCTTAATTTTCGTCACTTTCTTATAATTCCTCCATTTTTTTAACGACAACTCCATTATTTTTTATCATTATGATTCAACTTTTTTTCATGTGTTTTATTCTATTCATTTTTGTTTAATATTTTATTTGTAATAACTTAATTATTTTATAAGTTGTTGTATTGTATTACATATCAATATATAATTGTAGTATGAGTTATATATTATGTAAAATTTAATTTTATAAATATTTCATAGGATTAAATGGATCATCAAGATGAAAAAATAGTTTATATGATCATTGATCGTATAATGTGATTTTATGACGTTTATCAATATTTTATTTTCATTTAAAGATATTTTAGAGTATTTTAAATATTAAATATTTTGTGTTGGATTATCTATGTTTATTTTATGAATTAACAAAATTTTTTGGTGAATATTATTTTAAAAAAAAAACTTATTTAGCATGAGTGTTATAATATTTTAAGGGTAAAAAAGTAAATTAGTTTTAAAACCTCTCCCCTCCCCCTTTAAACCAAACATATATTTGATTAAACTTTTCCCTCTCCTCTCCTCTCCATCTTATAAACCAAACATACTTTTACTTAAAATACATCCCCTTTCCTTTATTAAAATCCTTCCCCTTCCCTCTCCTCAGTTGAATCAAACGGACCTTATTTGAGGGGAGAGAAAACAGTTATACGGTGTGATAAATGTATCATAAAATTCTATAAAACAAATTAATCAACGCTTAATAATCATGGTCCACCATGAACCACTTAATTGGTGGTCTACCTTAGAGCTTAGACACAACCATATATTTTACCATACAATAATTTCTATAAAAAAGTAAATGTAACATCACTCTAAATTTTTTATTATTTTTCTTTTTTATCTTTCATGTAGCAATTTTTTACTGGTATAGTCGGATTTGTCCAATTCAAACTTGATAAAAATTATCCAAAATGATCGATTCAAAATGTGTAGCTACTATATAGCTATTTTTTCAGGACCTACTTTGCAATTAGTCAAATATTGTTAAAGTAAATTAGATAGAGACTCGTGTTTCCCTTTCGATTATGCAACCTGAAGATTTGTTTGGCCTCCAAACTCTCCATGTGAACCTCAATATGCAAGCTTCTAACGAACCATTGAACAACATGTTTAACATCGTTCTAAGAAAAAATTCGCACGTCTTCGAAGTAAGGCTTCAACATCTAGAAGAAAGCCTTCACAATGCTCCTTCTCACGAAAATATAGTTCAAGAAGTCGCTTCGAGGATGACTCGTGTTGCCATCCCGGAGCCATTTGAAACAAAAAGAGAGGAGACTCCTTAATCGAAAGACCGATGTAAAAAATAGGAAACAACGAACTCTTCCTTCCAACCTTGGTGGAGACCGAAGTAGTCATGCTCTTTCCTCAGCTCACGTAGAATCTCGTCCGGGAAGAGTGCAACCAAAGCATATGTTGTCAATAAGAATACTTAAGAACAATATCAAAAAGTCTATGCAGAAACCACCCAAATTGGGTGATCATGACGGTAAAGGGGATCCAGACGAGCATATGCAACTTGTAGACGATTAACTGAATTACTTCAGAGCCGAAGACACATCCAAGTGCAAGCTATTTTCCTTAACCTTGTTCAAACCAACTTAATTATGGTTCAATGGTCTGCACGACGAATGTATTGATGCTTGGATGGAGTTCCGTAAAAGATTTTATGCACAGTTCCGCCTGGAAGTGCTGACTTTTAACTGAAGTTTCCCTAAGAAGGATAATGCAGGAGAAGAGAGAAAGTTTGTGGTCGTATATAGACTGATTGACACAGGTTTCTATTGTGGTGGAAGGAACTCATGAAGGTTTTCCGTGTTGGATTTTCGAGAATTTCTGAAGGACCATCCTTTCAAGAAAAAGTTAGGAAAAAGGAAGGTAAAATTTGTACAAGAAATTTTAACCATGCTTAGGCCTTACATGATCTTGGAAGAAAAACTATCCACGCGCTTTGAAAATCTTGCCTTCACCGATTCTCTTTCTAGTTGCCTGAGTAGAAAAGAGTCCCACCGGCGTCGAGATGATCTTGACCGGGGAATGCAATGAAAGTACAATAAGTATACTCCTTAACAATCTCCTGTGAGAAGATTGATAAAAACTGCATAAATACTGAATTTTGAAAAGCATGAATTTGACCCCCATACCCCGTCAAGGAGACATCCCAGACAGACAAATCAAAATAGTGTCGCTTCCTTAAAAGCCACAAACATAAACTGATGATTGCATCCAGTTGAAAGATGCCATCGAAGAAATGATAAAGAAGGTCTGGCTATCTGAATGTGTGAAAGGAGTCAAGCGGGATAGAGAGGAGTCACCTAAGGGTAAGTCTCCTTTTAAGATCACAATATCCAGAACAAGTGGAGAAAGCAAGGAGGAAAGTAAAGGCAATTGCCCATACATTGCTTCCATAACCGGAGGAGGAGCACAGAAAAACCTACCATCCAAAGGTATAATGAAGAGAAAAATCGCAAATATGATGGCTGTCTACTGTAAAGAGGGAAACATGTCGGCAAAAATCCTCTACCGTCCTATGAATAAGTGGCAGCAAGCCCGCCTGACTATGTTTTCTATTATTCAGTCA